TTAATTATACTAATTAAATAAATAATTATACATTTATTTTTAAATTTTTTCTTTTAAAAAAAGAGTAATTGTGTAAAAAAATTCTATCATAATTATTCTAAGTTGAAGGAATGGAAAATGTAAAAGAGGAAAGGAGGTTCTATCTCCCTCTAGTTTCATCCCCTGCTGTTAAAATAAGTAATCTAAATAAAAGAACGAGATACCTTCTCTTCTCTCTCTCCTTTCCTCCCCTTCAACTCCTCCGATCCATATAGAGGCTCACAGGACTATTTCTAATGACATCAAAGGAGAACGCCTGCATATTATACGGTGATCCTTTCCAATCATTTAGTCAATATTTTTAATGGTGTACGAAACTTCCAAGTTCTATACTTCTATCAAGTCTGAACTGTTCAATGCCTATTTTCTTTCAATATTTAATGGGATCTCACTAGTTTCTGCATTATTGACTCTAACCTAATTTCTCTTTTGTACGCCGTGGCAGCTATCCAAATTGAACATGAATTTTTTTTCTAGGTGAATGGAAATAAAATGATGAGTAGGTAAAAGAGATATTGTTTTTCACTTTATTGATTAATATTCAATTATTTTAGAGATTTTTTTTTTCATTAATTTTTTGGTTTTACATTGATGACATATCTTTAACTCAATTGGGGAGATATACACTTATCTTTTAATTGAATTGAGAATATATACTCATTACAATACGTGAAAGTTGATATATATGTTATTGCCTACCCATAATAAATTATTATAAAATATTGAGAATTTGTTACTAGTGTGCAAAAGAGGTGAAGCTTCGTTAGTTGAAGTGGTTTTATCAATAGCATAAAACGTTTTCACACTTTTATAATAAGAGTTTAAATAGGAGCTCTCCCTCCTCATCGCCCTTTTCCCACAAATTTGAACTACTTGTTATAGTACATATAAAAAATAAATAAATAAATAAATAAGAAGAAAGAAACTATTACCAAAGAATGAGGATTTTCAAGAGGGGCAGGTGCGATTTGGATTTATAAAGAAGACTTCTAAATTTTTGGAAGGAGTCTAACCTGAACCTTTATTTTTGTGTTAAATTAGGTGGACAAAAATGACATCATAAGTAATGAAGAGGTTTTTAAAAATCAAACCGTGTGATTAGCTGTGAATTAGTCGAAAACATTAGCAGGCATGCAATTGCTCACAATCACTTCAGACAATGACATGTTAACTACAACTTCTTTAGGAAAGGAGGACACTGTCAAATCAGGAAGTTAATTTGTGTTTTCAGATGTCCAATTAATTCCTATTTTACTTGGCAAGCAAAGCATGATTCAGTTGAGAATATGAAGGTTCATTTTTGCCTGGACAGGTTATTTGCAAGGGCCTACATGGGACTAGTTGGGCTGCAGCCCAGTCTAGATGTTGTTGCTTCAATTATATTACCCTCTAAAAGATCAAATCGAGTAGTTAAATCGAACCGAGCCAAAAATAAATATAAAAAAATCAGAAGTATTTTTATTTTTTGAAAAGAAAAAAACTACATTTTTAGTCCAATTTTCAACTCTTGCAGCATAATTTTTTTTTTTTTTTTTTAGAAGCTGGGTTCTACAATCACTCGAATAGCAAGGGAATGATCTTCATTTTCATAATTATTCTTTGCAAAGAAGTCTTAGCCTCAGAACATATGGAGATATGTGCTCTGGTACTTGAGTTGATCAGATAAGTTCAAGTTCTGTTTCTGTTTC